CACCTACGCACTACAAGTTTCCTAGTTTTATCTCAGCCCTTCTTGAATCGAGTACGGATCCGTTGCTTTTAGTAGTACGGCGCATCTTACCTTCCACATCTATCTGTACTTTCCTCAAGAATTGCATCGACTCCACCAAGTCCCGTTCACTACTACCTCTGCACCCAACACTAAAGTCATCCTAGGTTTACCCTAGGGAAATCTCCGACCCAACCCAACCCTCAGCTGCTGAAGGCCTCCTCGTAATAATTAAGCAATTCAATCCCATCACTCAGAGTCCCATAACGCACAAAGCAAGCAGCATTCAGATTAAAGGAAAATCTATCCATAACATAATTAAGCAATTCAATCCACATAACAAGAATCTGTACTACCATGCAATTCTAAGCTCATACTGCCAGACATAACCTAAATAGTCTTTCCTACCATTGTCTACTCAATACTAGCATTTAACTGAAAAACACATATAAAAGGTATATAAGGCATCCTTCCTAGGTCCTTAGCCCTAATCTAGCATGCTGATCACATAATCATATCATATCAAAATAACTTGTATGGGTAATTTGGGAAAACTTAATTGAGCTCGGCTGACTGCATGCACCACACCCTTTTCTCTTTTCAAAATTCTTTTTTTTTTTTTTATAAAAATGATTTTCTTTTGAAAATTTTCTTACCAAATCCTCAGTTTGAGTTCAGACACACCTGAGAGTGTGCCCGAATTCCTCAAACCAAGGCTCTGATAGCAACATGTAATGTCCCAAAAATACAAGCCAAAACTTTCGTTTGAAAAACATTATCAAAACTATAATCATCCATAATAAATAAGAAAACCAAGTGTCATGTATCTCAAAATCTCATATCAAATATTATATCAAAACAAATGAGAAAATAAATCAGAGTCTTAATCAATCCCAGGCTGAAAGCTGTGGTGTGTGCCATGTGATCATCCCGAGCCCTTCCATTTGCTAGTAGCACCTGAAAGCAAAACTGAAACTGTAAGCACGAAACTTAGCGTGCTCCCCCAAACTACCACATACCATAAAATAACACATATAACACATACTGGGCCTTGCCGAATGCATCGGGCCCCACCTGGCATCAAACCGAAGTCCAACATAACTTGGGCCCCACCTACTGAATCGGGCCCCGCCCGACATCGGACCGAAGTCTAGAATAACATGGGTCCCGCCCACTGAATCTGGCCCCGCCTAGCATCGGACTGAAGTCCGGTAGAAACTGAACATAGCATAAAAATAAACATATAAGATAATCACATATACTTCATCGGGCTTGCCTGGCATTGGACCGAAGTCCGCAACATATAACACATAACATAAACATGCATGAATCACAAAGACATCAAGCATACATAACTACTTCTCGGGATAACCTTGGCATACTATAACTACTTAAACAGGCCAGCATTGGTGCCTTAGACCCGTTCCTACTAGAGGAAAACTCACCTTGCACTGCTCAAAATCTGCTGATACTCGACTGGCTACTAACTGGAAATCCCCCGGATTGCTGCTTCTTCGGCTCCCCAAGCTATCAATCACTAAAATGATACTTAGACCAAAATACCCTCCGAAAGTCAAAATCAGTCAACCCTGGTCAAATTCAACGCTCCGACTTGACTCAACTCACCGAGTTCCAGCAATCAGAATCCTGAAATTGCGATCCAACTCGTCGAGTCACCCACCGACTCATCGAGTTCCCAGGCTACTCATGGTCGCAGTTCATCAAATCAACTTGTTGATTCAACCCTCAGACTCGCTAACTTCTAGCTTGAACAGAAACAAGACAATACACTTTGACTCGTCGAGTCGCTCAGTTTGATTGGGCCATCTTAATAGATTAAGCCCCTACACTTTAGATCCAAACCCCAAACTTCGTCTACATGCTGGAAATGACCTCGTGAGGGTAAAGTTTCCAATTTCACCCACTCCTAATCCTTCTTAATGGGTTTAGACAAAAACATAGCTCCTTAAGACATAACTCTATGTCCCATAAACCCTCATTACTCCAATCCAAAGCATAACAATATAGATCTAGGCCTTATACACCAGAAGAACACGTAAAGTCTCTGCCTTTTCTTCGATGCATGGCCTTTTGAGGATTAAAAGGCCATAACAACTCCTAAAAGCTTGCATGGGGGTTTCTAATGACATAAATCTTGCATCTTTATGCCTTAACCACTCTTAGGGCTTCAGATCTGAAAGGATCTTTGCTTGGGACATCCTTGTCCCAAAGATCAAGCTCTATGGACCAAAATTCTCATAAAATGGACATAAAGAGATCTAAGAAACTATAAGCCAAGATGAAAACTTTATTACCAGAAAATGATCGAAATGAGATGATGTTGCTGGATCTATAAACTTCTTCTTGAACCCTCAAGATCCTTCTTCTTCTAGCCTCCAAGAACACATAAGACCCTCAAGAATGGCTCTCACACCGTAAAAGGACTCGTCGAGTAGGTCACTTAACCCGCGACCCAAAATACTCTCATACTCGTCGAGTCATCCCACCTACTCGACGAGTGACCTTATAATTTTAGAGGGTTTCCTTTCCCTTTTAGGTCTTATGAATTCGGGGTGCTGTTGAGAGAAAAAATTGAGACACACATGAACAAACGTTAGAACAAGTATAGTTGCGGAATTAGTTAATCTCAAAGGATCAAAAAGCTCAACAATAATAAGTTAACGAGTTAGATAGTTAGATAGTTAGTTGCGAAAATGTAAGGAAACGTAAATGATAGCAGGTGATATATCAAGTAAACACATAAGTTGATTCATAACATGGAATGCATTCAAACCAAGTTAGAGATTGAGATCAAGCTTAGTGATAAAGTCATGAATGACTTGCTCCGAAGAGAAGTAATTATCATTGATGTTCGAGAGGATTTAGAGTAACAAAGATATGAGATGCATAAGAGAAATGTAATTGATATACTCGAAAATAGTTCAGATTGATAGATGTGTAAGATCTCTTTAAACTGTGAAAGAATGAGCTCTATATATAGAGACTCAAAAAATACATTTGATCAACTCTCTAAGAGTAGCCATGCAAGGCATACTAGACAATAGAGAGTATTACAGAAAGATAGATAAGATTAAACTAAGTAAAGTAAGTAAGTGATAAGACAAAGATTCAAGTGTTGATTAAATTAGAAAGTAAATTCAAAGAAAGATTGAAAGATGTGAACACCGATGTAAATATGATATGTTTGGCTCTATTACGCTTTATCAGTTTTACAGAGTACAAGTGAAAGTTTTGTAAAGACTTCGTTACTAAGACACTAGTAACAACTCCTATTTATAGGATATGAAAGCATACAAAAAATATACTAAGGATTAAACATAATGCTTCGAATATTATGCCCTAGTAAAATATATTTCAAAAATGTTCGAAGCTGCTAAAGACAGATTTCGACTTATTACAACATTTTGACTCTTACAATCTCCCCATTTGTAATCAAAGTCGAAGTCTTTAGTTTGTGAGAAGTGTAATGGAGTATAGCAAAACTCTACGAACCTTAGTACACCAAGAAATAATTTTCTTCAACTCCTTCTTGTCTCCTTCATTGTTTTTCTTGCAGTGGTTCATACGAACAATCAAGTTTGTATGTTGAGATGTAGAATCTCTCCACTTCGCTAGCTTGGAATAAAAACCTCTTCACTTTTCCAGCTTTATCCTTTCCAACAAAAACTATCCCAAATGGCTTAAGACAAATTTCTCCATCATCATATTTCTTTAACTCAGCCTGTGTCTTTGAAGGAGCCATTGGAGCATTTATTTCCATTCCCTTGGCAGTTGCCAACTCCACATCAGTTAAAGCTAGACACTCGTAGTAATTCTTTGTGAAGATATTGATGTGGGAAACTTCAAGTTTGACTTCGTCTAGATCTGTGTTTTAAAGAAAAGAAAAAGATTTGTCTTTCAAAAGCAATGCAACTTGTATAAGGGCATACAAGTTCATCAGAGGAAAATCTGCAATTGTAAATTCGCTTGTTTTTCCATCTGCCCTTGAAACCACATACTTGATGTTTTGGACTGTGTTTTCAAAAACCACATCCTTTTTCATACTTATCACCTTCTTGATCTTGATCAGAGACTAAACATCCTCACGAGCTTTACCAAGTACCGCATGAAAACAAATTTTCATATGAGTCCCTTCATCTTTTTCTTTGAAATTCCCTTCAGCTTTGAATTGAGGCATGATAAACATCATCTCATTTATAGGGAAATCCAACTGGCAAGCATCAGAATTTGTGATCACATAACTTTGCTTGGGCTTCTTTTTGAATGTATACATGTGAATTAAAGCAACCTTGGCTTCAATTGTTTCATAGTTATAGTGTTTTGCTGGATCACCTTTATTCATCCCCTTCGGATCACTAGCCCTCTGAGCCATTATACTTTGAACCATTCTAAGCTTTTCAATCTCATCTTTAGCCTCAACCTTCTTTTCTTCTTTAGATTTTTCCACAAGAATTGATTTTAATTTTTGTCTGTAGATACCTCTTTTGGATTTGACCCACTTCCCCCAGATTCTAAAGGTTTACCAATTACAATTCCTTTCAAAATTGTTCTTGTAATTGGTAATGTTGTTACGATTGTTGAGGTTACTGGTTCAGCAGACACTATCACTATTTTTGTTGAAGGGATTTTTGAAGAGAATACCTTGCCTACCACTTTCGCTTCATCTTCTATTGACTTCCTTTCTCCCCTTTGCACCCCTGTGAAAACATGAGGGGTAGTAGTTGAGGGAAGAAAAATGGATATGCGAAATAGTGGAGCAAGTTGCTTGTTAAGTATAGCTTCAAACTGGACAAACTTCTGGGATAAAAATTCTGGAGTAATCATAGGGGACGAAATAGGTTTCGTTGAGATCTCCTTTAATTCCTTGAGCAACTTCATCACTCCTTCAAAATTTTCACTTTCAGATTTGGAGAGTTGATTTATTTGAGGACTCAAATCTTCAAATAGCTTGACAAAACGAGTTACAACATCCCAAATGATATCGACCTTCTGATCCAAGGACGCATAATCATGTTGAAAAGAAAAAATTTCCTTTTGAACAAATTCACTTTGTTCACCTCCTGAACAAAAAGAACATGATGTTCTTTTGTTGTGCTTTTCATATCTTTAACTTCTCCTATAAAATCAGATCTAAGAGATTTAACATGAAGCTCAGAATTCTTATATGTGTAATCAACCTTCTCTAGAATAGCAAAGTCTGAGGCTTCCAACATTCTAGAAACCTTGTTGATTATTCTTGATTCGAACATCTTGAGCATGGAATCAACCTCCAAACTAGAAATAGATGAACTTCCTCCAAGATCAGCTTGGGGTTGAATGATGGAGTTCAACTTTTGATTAAGAATCTTGTATTGCTTCATTGTCATCAACATGTGATCAGGAAATTCTTCTTCATCTTCATTGAATTCCATATTTTTGAACGTACCTCCAAACCCTTCATTATCAGTGTCAGTTGGTGAAGATGGTTTGGGTGTATCAGTGGATTGAGAAGGAAAAATTGAAGTGAATGGTTGATTGAGAATATGTTCGAAGGTTGGTGAAACAGTGGTTGATGTGAGAGGAATAGTAGATGTTGGTGTAAAGATAATTGGACCTTGAGCAGCATCTTTCGAACCTCCTTCACCCATGTTGACATTTGCATCCATATCAGATACGTGTGCAGGGATGCCTGAAGTTCGAACCTCCTCAAAAATTGACTTGGCAATTGAAACTTCGGGTGTTTTGATAACATTCGTCTCAGGAATGGAACTTGTAACAATAGGAGTGAACTCTGGAGTTTCTGGGATTTGTTGATCTTCATCCGTAGACTCAGTAGATAAAACAAGCTTGCGAGTCTTCATAAACTTCTTCTTCTTCGATTGTGACAAGTGTTTTGCCATATCTTCTGCTACTTGTTTCTTAGACCCAGGAAAAACAAGAGCAGGTACATTACGAATTAAAACCCCTTGGTGAGTAATTTGAGGTTTGCGAACCAGCTTCTGTAATGATGACTTTCGTTTGTGAGTAGACTTCATCTTGATTCTTCGAAACATCCCAGTTTTCGACGGAATAATAACATTCTCTAGAGTTTCGTCCACCATTGGCTCAACCACATTTGTTTCATGAATTGTCACTTCAACATTTTTAGTTTTCTTCTTTGAAGACTTAGAGGTTGTCAAACCCTTTTTCTTTGGTTCAGGTGAAGTAGGAACAACCTTCTTTGACTTTTAAGATTTCTTTTCTTCCCGTGGCAACAAAATTCGCGTTGGAATTGATGAATCGATTGTTTTCAGATATGTAACCAAAACAGGATTCTTAGGATCCACCCTGTTAAGCATCGCGTCTGGAATCCGAGCAACTTGTGGAAATTCATCGACATCATCAACAACCTCCTTCAGAAAGTGATAATCGTGAAAAGTAGCATTCTCTTCTTCATTTGAAACCAAGATGCCTTCCTTATTGTAAAAATGTTGCAGAATAAGGCTCCAGTACCGAGCACATGAAATGTGGTGAACAGCACTGGTATGTTCTACTCCTTTTTGAAATTCCTTCCATAGCTGTGAAGAATAATCTGCTGGAAGATCATAGTATAATCCTGCCACCATGGCGTAAACCTCCATCTGTCCTTTGGCTAACCCAACTGTTCTTCCGGTTAAACAACGTAGAAAGATCCCAACCAAGAAATTCCATAGTTTTGGAAGTCCAGACTTCTTAAAATCACTTATTTTTTACAATGGGGGCTGATGTCCCATTTCATTAAACATATGGATTATTTGGGGAAATTGAAATTCAGCAAAAGGAGGGGTATTCGGAATATCAAGAATCTGGCAAAATAGTTTCTTGAAAAGCCTAACCTTTTGTCATTAATCAGGAGGAAAGCAATCGAATCAGAGTTTTTGTTATATGTTGCAGTAGATCCTGCTTGAGAAAGCCAGGATATCGGAACAAGAAAAGAATTGAACATGGCTTTAGATAAAACGGAGTGTTTTAAAGCAACAATAAGCATCTTGAATTCTTCTGGACATTGAGAAATTTCACCATTGACATAATAATTTGTAGACTGAATCTTCATTACTGGAGCAGAGGAAATATCTTCAGTTGAAGGATCAACATGAGCAACAGTTTCCATTGTTAGGGTTTGAAGAAGATGAAGAACAGAGAATTTGGGAATGTTTGAGTTTGATCGCGTAAACGTAGAAAGTACTCTTGAACCCCCTTTTATAAGTAACCCTGAATGATTTGAATTTAAAGCGGGATGTATTTAATGAGATCCAACCTAGCACCTTGAAAATCGGACCATTACTATGGAAATGTAGCCATGCGTCAAAAAGTAACTATCACTTTTCCTAGAAAACCAGACATAATACTATATGTCATAGATAAACAGCCTGTCATTATCCCCCTAAGAGAATTGTAACCGACAGAACCCTTCGAATGGAAGCAAGGCTCTTTCACTTTTGGGATTAAAAGCGAAGTCATATGCCAGATGTTTGAAATCATCAGCCTGAGTTGGTATTACTCAGAACCTCAAGGATTTCGTGTGTGCAGTGTTCCAAAGAAATTTAGACAAGAAAAAATTAATTATTTTTTTTGGAATGTAGTGATGTCAAAAATGTAATTTGACATGAAGGCAGTTAAACCCCAGGCAAAGGTTGCTTCGTTAATCATCAAGAGAGATGATCAACAACTTGTGTATGTTCCCGTGAAATACAATCGAATACTTTTTAATAAGTATCAAAGGGCTTCTTTTGAAAATTCTTCGTGGGTAGGTTCAAAATTTCATTACATGTCAACCTAAACATAAGGTGATAAAGTGTAATAGAAATTACTTGTTTGACTAGTGTAGTTAGTGACAAGTTGGCTTTGAAATTTTTTTAATATAACTGGGACATTCGAATGAAACTCACATTGAAATCATATTCATGAAAAAAATTTGTTTACTAGATCTTGTTGGGTAACAAACATCGTGGGTTTCGAATGTTTGATCAAGACCACTCATTCGAAATGAATATGATTTGGAGTTTTGAACCTTGGTACAGAAAAAAAAGTTTCATATATTTCTGGAACAATGTTCCCTGTCAATTCCTTAATTTGCAAGATGTTTGGGTTTCACTTTCATCACGGACTCATGATGTCAGATCATAAACACATCTTTGTTATATATCTAAGTTTCAATGGGTTTGATCAGAGACCTCTCGGACATACATCTTTGTGTGTGATCGTGTATGAATATTATGGATGAAAAAGATTGGTAAAAGACAGATACATCAGCATGTTGTTGCTGAGCTTCTAGGGACACAAGAGCTTCGGATAACTTGGTTGTATCTACCGAATCTAAGAGATCATCGTAGTTTACTTCAACTAGATTTAATGGACCTGAAGAGGCGGGAATATCACTTTCTAAAATAGTTATGGCATCTGTTGATGGAGCGGTGTGGCGGATGTGATAGTCATCAAATTTCACATCGAAGCCTTCAATTATCAAACTTGTGTGTCTAATGACAACTCAATAAGCAACCTTGTTACTGGAGTAGCTAAGAAAGATGCCTTTATCAGACTTTGGTGCGAATTTTTTGAGATGATCTCTGTTGTTGATTACGAAACATCTACACCCAAATATATGGAAGAATCGAACATTTGGCTTGCGGTTGTTAAGGCCTTCATATGGTTTTTTGTGGAGGCGTCTGCACACAATGCTTCGGTTTTGTACAAAACCGGCTGTGGTCACTGCTTCGGCCCAGAAGTAGAGTGGAAGATGTGCAAAGTGGAGCATAGATCTGGCAGCTTCTACAAGAGTGCGGTTCCTTCGTTCTACTACCCTATTTTGTTGTGGTGAGTACGGAGTTGAGAAGTTGTGAGTAATGTCTTTGGAGACTAAGAAACTGTTTAGGAGATGGTTAGTAAAATCGATTCCATTATCACTTTGGATACGTCTAACTAGTAACTTGATTTGAAGCTCAATTTCCTTGATGAAATTGATCAATAGTTGCGGAATTTCTAATTTGAGTCGTAAAAAATAAACCCAAGTGAATCGTGTGAAGTCATCAACTATAACCAGTATTTATTTCTTGTGATGGAGACTGGCTACGGTAGATGAACCGTAGAGATCAACGTGCAATAGTTCCAATGGTTCATAAATTGAGGAGTCAATCACCATGGGGTGACTTGCTTTGGATCGCTTTCCACATTCACATGCAGGACAGAGAGTATCATTGCTGAATTTGAGAATTGGAAGATCTTTGACTAGTTCTCTGGTGACCAAATTGTTGATGTATATGAAGTTGAGATGAGCTAGCTTGCGGTGCCATAGCCAGCTGACTTCGGATACTTCTTTGGATAGGAAGCATAACTGCGGTTTTCCTATGACCAGAGAGATATCCAGAGGATACATAGTACCTTAAGATCTGGACTTGATTAGACAAGTTCTCCTATCGCTTGTCATTACATAGCAAAATTGATCATCAAATTCAACACAATGGTCTGCTTTACATAGTTGACCAATACTTATGAGATTGTGTTTAAGGCCTTCTACATAAGAAACCTTTTGAATAGAGAAGTTTCCCATAGTAAGAACTGATGGGTTTTGAGCATTCTAACACTTCCTAAGTGTACATGCAACCCTAATAACCTTGGATCTATGTTTGTCTAATTATCATGCAAAGTTGAATTCCAAGGTTATATTCCTGTCTAGCATACATGGGGAACAATTTTAACTTAAAGTATAGATAGAATAACTCACCTTGTTGTTGTTTGTGTTCCTTGAAACCTTGTGAGCCTAGCACCCCAAGTGTGATGCCTCAAATGCTTCACACAACACCAAATGCTCTTGGAAGAACTTATGAGAGAATACACACTTCTCAAAATCGGCCAAGCCCTCTTGTTTCTTAGTGTCACTAAGTGTACAACCGATTTTGGGTGGAGAATATGTTTCTTATATAGTGTTGAAACTCTAATGTGTCATGACTCTTCATTTCCATGACCCATGGGTTTGTAACTCCCATGGAGCATCCATGGAGTATCCAATGGGTGGAACCCAACTTGATAATCCATGGAGCCTCTTAGCCCACTATACAAGATATGGATGATTTACATAATCAACCTATATATTTAATTAGTTATCTTTTGATCACATAATTAATTCTAAATTAATTCTTGATCAAACTAATCAAATAATATTATTAATATATTAGAACTTATAATATATTAATAATCTCCAAGTGTTATTTCTCTCATTTATTCTATCCAATTGCATGGTGCCATGCAACCTAAATGGACCATGCCGGGTCGGGTCAAGTACATACCAAAAATAGTTATGGACTTAGACACCTTATCCAACAGTCTCCCATTTGGATAAGTCTAATAACTATTACTACAAGTATGACTTCAGGAACCGATCGGCAATCGTAGCTCTTTACAAGGTTTCTCGGAACTGAGAAGATGATGGTACGCCATTTAAGATAAGTGATCATATAATCCTCTGTTCTAGATATCAGTCGGACAAATACATGGAACAATGTCTTACTTATTGTCCAACAGTTTGTTTCCCGATTTCCGATTTGTTTGACAAAGAACTTCATTGAACACATCAATTTAGTTCTGACCGGGCCCGGTACATGGGTCAAAACAAAAACATCGAGGGGCCCAGATATCAGCTTCTAATCCAAGAAGGAACAGATAAACTTCGACTCATATGTTTGTTCTCCCAATCATTGAATTATACACAAGTGCACGATTTATACATCGAGTTACCAACGCATTTTTCGTACAATCAATGCATAGCCAACTTGTAAGTAACAAATCATATCTTTAGGTTTGAAGACTTATATGATATTACCGTCTCATGATCACTCGAGATAGAATTCCATGAAGTGATTCCAGTGAGCGTGGGTTGAGTCCAATTCTCAGAACTTATGAGCACTCATGATTGTTGTAGCCTTGTCCAAGACCTCTACAACCAACCATGACAGTCTTGATTCATATCTACTTCCGACATATGACCGACTGTGGAGGTTTGAATAATATGTTATACCAAAGAAAATTATTCTGGAAGTCAAAACATGCAAAAGAAATATAGTAAACGATTGACAAGAGATAGTAACAC